GAAGAGCTCACACCTAAGGGGCACACAGTTGGTAAGAGGTACTTGTCACTCACTGGCTCTGTATTTGTGAAAGTAAAAACAACAACAACAAAACCTGGTAGATTTCCACATCTAGAAGAGAGCTTGCTCATTTCACAGGGTCTCCATGGAGACTTGAGTCAGATAAAGGAAAAGCAGCATGTAGTAGGGCTGTAGCAGTGCAGATTTTCTGTCTTCTATGTCTAAGCTGCAGGCTACATCCCAGCATGGTTCTATCAGACAAGGGAGAGACATGGAGAAATTCCCAGGCTGCTTCTGGGGTGGGAGAAGGAAATGAGTTTGTCCTGTCTAAGAGATGCTCCTTATATAAAGTCTGGGTTGCCAACACCAAGAACCACATGATGGCCCATCTCAGATTCAGCTCAACTTTCCCAGACCTTGGGTGGGAAGGGGGCCAGCGGTGTGGCCGCTGGAGTAGGCACCCCAAATTGCTTCTGCAAAACAGCAGCCGGAATGACAAGGGTAGGAGACACAGTAGAATGGGGCTCACTCTGGATTTCTTTACACTGCTCTTTCTTAAGCCTTGTAAATCCCTGGGGATCTCATTTAATAAACCCTGTTTTCTTTGCTTGGATGGAAGCTCCTTGAGCAGGACACAGATTGTCAGTCTAAGCGACAGGTCAAAGCCCTAAGTGATAAAACTAAAACCTGGATTTAAAGGCAGAGTTAGAGTAACTCATGCTTTCCCTCTAGTGCCTGAACAGGAGGGTGGATTCTGTTTTTTTCTGACTTCCAGATGTGCAATATGATGGCTAATTGCTAACAGAGGGTCCAGTATCAGTTTGCTTCCTCCCTGCAAAGAGTAGCAAAAACATTCCTGCATCACACTCTGCACTTGGGAGTTAAACCAGTAACAAGCTTTGAAAAGTTAAAGCTGACAATAGCGCTAATACTGTGCTTCTCACTTCTCACCCCCTAAACTGCTCAAGCAAAACTCAAAATTTGGGAGAACTTTACTGAGCATATGTGTGTGTGTTCTGTTCTTGCCTTTTAGAACCCGTCTACGTCCCCTTCCTGATCGTCGGCTCCATCTTCATTGCATTCATCATCTTGGGCTCCTTAGTGGCTATTTATTGTTGCACCTGTTTGAGACCCAAGGAGCCTTCGCAGCAGCCAATTCGCTTCTCACTCCGCAGCTATCAGACGGAGACCTTGCCCATGATCTTGACCTCCACGAGCCTGAGGGCACCTTCCCGGCAGTCCAGCACAGCCACCAGCTCCAGCTCCACAGGTGGTTCCATCCGCAGGTTCTCTTTTGCCAGGGCCGAGCCAGGCTGTTTGGTACCCTCACCACCCCCACCTTACACCACAAGCCACCCAGTCCACCTGTCCCAGCCATCCGGTTTCCTTGTGTCACCCCAGTATTTTGCTTATCCTCTCCAGCAGGAGCCCCCGCTACCTGGGAAGAGCTGTCCAGACTTCAGTTCCAGTTGACAGTACATGGCCAGGAAGCCACTGTGTAGTCAATGGCAGACAGACGGGACACCTGTTGCCGTTGCCACTGCAAGATTTCCCTTGTAACCGCTCATCATCGTGGAAGAAAGAGCTAGGAAGATACAGTGCCTTCTAGTCTTCAGGTTCTTAGCTCTAGTCGGAAGGTCTGGCTTTGCAAATATGGTGACCATTGCATTCCAGTTTATGCCACTCAGATGAGTTGAACGAGTTTGACTTTAAATTTGCAGACTGGCTGGAAATTCAGCTATACTGTCTAGAAGAGAGATACGTGTTCCTTTCTATGTGCTTGTCAAGTTATAATCCAAATATATAATAAATAAGAAAGGAAATACCTAACTGTAATTATCAAGGGTTCACTTAAAAATTAACTATTAAGTAAACTTGAGGGGGCAGGGAATCACCTATTTATAACTTTGGGAGTAACCTAGCCATAAATAACATTAGCATGGTAAGAACATTTACTTTTTCAATTAAATAACTCAATTTTGTTTAAAGTATAAGAGTTTTGTCGTAATACAAGGTTTCAGTAACCACACGGGTTTAAAGTTTTAAATATATACTCAGACATTCATATAATACAGGTTCTATGTGAAATCACTTTTCCCACCCACCAGAGGGAATATTTATTGTAGACTTTTTGTTCAGCAACATTTAGTGTTTAAATGAAAGTTGGACAATTGGGTTAAAACATTTATTTGTAAAATGAGTTATGTATAAATGTAAAGAAATATAATTTAATGTATTTACCACATTGACGATACTAATTATTTAGTAGTCACACTGTGATTTTTATGTTAATAACTGTGGAATTTAAAGTATAGCTATTGGTGTAATCATCTAATATTACATGTCTCAAATGCCACTGAATTCCATGTCTAATGACTACATATCTTGGCATATATCCTGCTGGGTTAGAATAAATAAAATACATTTTCAAGGATTCTATCTGAAATTTTAAATCAAAGTACTTAATTTTATCCCCTTAGTGATAATTCTTGCTGTTCAATAAAAGGAAATGTCTTTACTTAGCGCACAACTTGAAGGTAAAAGAAATATTCTCTTCATTGGGGCTTGTGAAAGCAGCAAAGGAAGTAAATTGTTAGAGAGATTCAGACTCTGGGCTGCATGCAGCTCTCAGATATGTCATTTGGCTTGTAGAGTTTCAGTATCTGGACATTTCCCAGAAGAACCTGGATTTATGGCTTCTAGTGACATATGGAAGATTTGGTACTGTAAGCCCTATTCTGGCCTGAGGGTAGGCCAGCCCTCTTTGATAGGACACCTGCTCTTTGCCAGTCTTCCTGCAGTTCCCCCTGCCTGGCCCATCTCTGGTTATATTTCCTAAGCCAGACAGTGCAGTTTGGGAGTACAGTTCATGTGAATTCACTTTTGCCGTGTTACTCTCAGCAGTCCTTTTCAGAGCTAGTCAGAGGTAGAACGCTGACCTGGGAGAGTTGATTAGCCCTGCCTCTTCACCTTCTGGTTGAGGACAATAGTCTGAAGGAAGAGGAACAATGAGTCTAGTTTCCTGTTTTCTTCAATGTCTAAAAATGGCTTGACTTGTATCACAAGATTTTTAAAAATAAAGGAACAGCTGAATGTAAGAGGTTAAATGTTTGTGAGCATGTTCTAGGACATACTGATTATCTTTAGACTGCTTTTCTTTTTCACTATCTGTACACTGCTTCTCCTGTAGTTTTAAGTTAGTTAACCTTTACTGAGCTATTCTTATGAGCCAAGCACCCTGCTAAGGACTTACATGTTAACTCACTCCATCGTCTAAACAACACCAACAAAGAGGCAGGGTGATTCCTGTTCCACAGATTTGGTAATGGAGGCACAGAGGAATGCAGTAACTTATTCACTGTGTGCGGCTGGTCATGGCTGGCGTTGGTATGTAAAAGTAGATTTGAACTTCAGAGAAGCACCTGCTTTGAGATTTTGACTTACCAAAGGGCTCAGATGTTAACCCCTTGCGACATTTCCAATTCCATACTAATGCAATTTAAATACAGTTGCATTGCTGCTGTTACTGTGAATTTTGCAAAAAAAAAAAGCAAAAGTTTGGTTTTCTTTTGCACCATGGTTGTATATCTAGAAAATTCAAGGTAAACTGACAGTGCAAAACACACTTCACAGGTAAAATGGGATAGGGTTTTCCACGAAGAGGGATGGCAGGGCGATCAAAAGCCATGCTGATGGACAGTAAGTGTTGTATAGTCTGCCCCAAGCCTCGTAGGGACTCTGTTACAACCAGGTTCCTCACAATGGATGCGGTAGCACACCTGCCTCCTCCCTCAAACATTCCAACACCACGATGCAATTCCATAGTGTCCTCTAGAGGGTGCAGCCCCCATCCCCCAAAGAACAATTTTATTTGCCATTTCTTTGGAGAACGGTTTATGTCCATTAGGCAGACCAGTGATAAGGAATTCATAAAGTTCACATCTGCAAACTTCCCCACCTTAGCAGCATACCTCAGTTGATCAAGTTAACTAGCCATAAATTGTTTAAAATTAGGCGCTTAGACACACCTAATCAAATCCTATCCCCATGTTCTTGGTTTACAGTGTATGTCTTTGTACGTCTTCTCTCTAGAAGCTGAAGCTAAGTAGCTGGTAATATTAGAATTAGGATCTTAGGGTAATAAGCCATCCTGTGGCAGATTTCTAGACAGTGTCCCATTCAACAAGACTTTTGGTCCCATTCCTCACCTGACTAGGCAGTGGGAGAGAGGGTGAATAAAATGCAGTTCTGATTTAAGCCACTGCCTGCTATGGGTTCAGGCATGGCAACAAATACTGGGGTTCAGATGTTACAGAGATTGCGTTACGTTACGGTTATATTATGTTATCACGTTATCTTCTTGCTGTCAGGAAGGTCACAGGCAGGTAACCCATAAACCACCACTCCCTGGCAGCACGGACAAAGAGCATTCACCATCTTATTCTGGAGGGGCTGATATTAGACCTGAGCTTTGAAGAGATGTGTGGGGTTTGAGTGAAAACTGGGTGGAGGGAGGAAAGGAGTGCTGGAAATAAAGGGAAGAGCATATTAGGCAGGAAGCATCTATAAGTGTGAAAGATGGAGGAACATTCTGGAAATAAGACAAAGAACCCAGAAGACGAGCAGGGGTGGTGAGAGAAGCGGGAGCAGAATGGAGCTCCTGAACACCATGATGGTTGGGTAAATTCCAAGTGGGAGCCTTAGAGGATTTTATAGGGGACAATGACTTGATCACATCTTTGATTTAGCAAGATTAGACAGCAAGGGTCAAAACAAGTCACTTGAAATTCCCAAGAAGATGCTCACCACCATCTACCACACCAACAAAATACAGATGAAACTTGTCTGAGTCAAACTTTTATTACTACCTCAAAGAATTTGGGTCCTAATATCCACAAGCCATAATTATTGTGAAAATCACAGAGAAAGAGTTCTGTGTTTTAAAAGGTAGTTATGCCAATAATTGGATAATATTAAGCACCATGTGTGTCCTAAGTGCTTTATGAGTTGTACAATTTCATCCCAAGTAGGGACTATTGCCTTTTTGCAAATAAAGAAATCAAGGCAGAGATATTAACCACTATGTTCAAGGATAAACAATAACTGAGTTAAAATTTGAATCTAGGAGGTCTGCTTTGCAACTTCATTTGTTTAGGACATTAGAGCTGAAAGTTCTAATTTTCCTGCAAAAAATAATCTAACCTACTTTTCAGAAAATATATTGGATTTTTTTTTTTTTTTTTTTTTTTTTTTTTTTGGGGATCGAACTC